GTAATTCTGATCCAAATTAGTATTTATATTCCACAGAATATGCCATCAGTGAAACTCAAAGGGAAGAAGGAAACATAAATACACACATGTATTTTTATGTCCCTGTGTAGATATGTGCACATGGATAAATATTATATCTCCCCTTTCTGGCATAAAAGTCACCAACAGAAGAGGTATTTTGTGATGTTCAAAGGATTTAGTGTTCATTTTTTTTGGCCAGCAGGACAACCACATAAGGGGGGGTTCAATGTAGAACTTTGTAGCTTAAATAATAAAATCAAGACTTAGTATTGGGTTTCTTTATGGATATATGCAAATGCTTCTCATACACCCCTGATCTTGTCATGGGAAATGCCTCTTTGCAGGAAGCAAACACAAGTTTAATAGCAACAAGGAGTATTCTGCCATTCCCGAGTGCACTTTATACTGTGGGGAGAGACATAGATCAGTGATACTATTAAAGCATTGACAAGAGCTAGGTTTGTTTACTGCAATAACAGACAAAAAAAGAGAAATCAAATGATGCTGCACACTACCTCAGACGAAATCTCATAAAACAGTCCTAGGAGTTATAGATTAAAGCATCTCCAGCCAGCTTAAAGTGTGCCTCAGATCACAGCTGAGACCAAATCTCTGCAGACGAGACTGGAAGTGATTGTGCCATCTGTATTTAGTGTTGTGCGTGTCCTGATGTGGTGAATGATGTACTCAGCAGACAGACCACATCAGCCAAAGTAAAATGGGATGTGTTAGTGTAAAATTAAACCCATGGAAGGCCCGCTAGCAGTTTTTGTTCTACATTATTGTCAATGCTGCCCCACAGTTCAATGCTGTTTGCATTATGATTTACCAAAGTGCTAGCTCCTGCCTTGCTGATCCCCCTAAAAGAGGGACGGCCCTTCATGCAGAGGTGATATTCAGCAGTGATGGCACAGACACTGCTAAACATTGTCCATAAAATAGATGTATGTTGTGTGGATGACAATAGCCATCCACATGGCAGACCGGTTTCCAGACTCCGTGTACATGTGCAGAAATTCCTGGAAGTGCAGAAATCCTGTTAGTCCTTCTTTCACCCCAGGTTTTTCTACTCATCTCTATAACTCACTCATAGGGCAGAGGGTACCTTGGGCTCCAGTGTTCACTAGCTCAGCTCCAGTTCTACCCGTGCAGATTCCCTCGGAGGAGTGCCTGTGTTGGTTGCACCCGCTCACCCACCAGACTGCTTTGGTATCAGTGGCAAGAACTTTTTAATGGCTGGCAGGGCAAGGTGCACAGCATAGCATGGACAGGGTACAGCACCAGGACCCTGTTAGCAGTGTCTCTTGTGCATCTCCTACTGGTGAGTTCACCGTATGGAGGGAAGTCCATTTGAACTGGCTTCTTAATTTCTTTTTTTATTCTAAATGACTTCACTACAAACATCCAAATGTGGACACCCAGCTCGACTGCACTTGATTGTGGCTGACTTTGGAGGTTAGGCAGTCTGGTTCCTGGCCAATAGGTGAATAGAAGAGCTCCTGGCTGCTGTAAGCACAGATGAAGTTGTTGTGGCCTTTGTAAACACTTGACCAACACAAACTGCAAAGTCCCATCAGGAGGAAATATTACATTTATCCTAGTCAGGGCTGCTGACTTGATGATGAGGATCAAACTAACACACACACACACACATACAGACAATATGTTAGCAGATAATTAAATGGAGCAGTGCTTACAGTTGAAGAAAACCTTTTCATCCTTTGAATGAACTTTTTGAACCTGTTGTCATTTGAACCGTAACCAAGTTCAAACACTCCTGGTATTTTTATACCAAAGCTGAAGGAAGACTGTGAAGCTTTTCCCTTCAGGACACTGCTTTCATAATTTGAGTAGGAGTCGTATTCAGTCATTGTAAATTCATAATTGTATTTGGTCTAAAAAGAAAGCAAAAACAACACATCTAATTTCCTGCATAGCAATTGTATACCTGAAGCATAGGGAAGGAATACAGATACAAATATACTTGTGAATTAATGCTTGCACTTTGAAGATGAAAAGTCTTGTATAATTGCAAAGCACTATTATTAGCAACACTGGTACTTCAAGAATATTTGATTTACAGCAGCAGGAAAGCTACTATCTCCTCTGTACTGCAATGACCTCAGGCTTTTACTTACTATGTCAATCTCATGCAAAGAAGGTGAGTCTCGAACACAGACATCAATTAAAGTATGAATTATGAAAGGAAAAGGTTTCCTAGTGGGCAACACTCAAAAATACCATGCTTTGTCATCAAGAACATCAAGGTCAAACATATAACATTTGAAATACAGCTTTGATGCTCCACAGAAGTAAGCTTTCACACAAAGCCTGGTGTGTGGCTATATCCTAGGCTGTTGTACAAGGACAGCTTTCCCAGCCTGGCTCTTGATGCACTTTTTGGCCCTCCTGGACAGATGGCACCAGGAAGGTTAATCTCAGTGTTTGCAATGACAAGGTCCAAGGGAACACTGCATCTATTCCAGTGCACATGGATATTATAAGGGGATGTGTCCAACTTCATAGAGAAGAGTACATGGGGTATGATGATGTTCTAGAAGCAGGGTTAATTCAGTCTCATCCCATTTGGTATCACGAACTTTGTAATGTTTTATAAAATGATTTAATAATGAAGCTTTATCAGTATTGCACTAAATTGATTGGAATATACACATGTGTATTTGCAGGCAAATCTGACACATACCTCTGCTGTGTAGCTTTCTACATTGTATGGCTTTCTGAATCTTGTGTCCATGATATAATGGGGAGAACATGCTCCAGCATAGTACCTGTGATCAAGAACTAATCCTTCCAAGTTGTTTGTGAAGATATTTAACCTGTACATGAAGCATAACAGCAAAATGCTAAGGTTGTTATAGATTCTAAAGTAAAGATCAAAGGCTTTGGCTGAGAAAGGCAAAAGACTGTTTTGTTTGGCTGGGGGCTCCTTGTTTCATACTTCTTTATTTTGAAACCCCAAAAGACAGTTTTGCCTCTTTCACTGTCTGACCAACCCAGTTGCTCCAGAAAAACTGACTAACAAGAAAGCAGAAGAGAGTCAAATTCGGACACGTCGATGAATATGAAAGGTAATTTTCACCACCCAGCTACAAATGACACCAGAGATTACTGTGACCAGCCCCGCAACTTCTGTAGCCTTTACTGGAAGTCTGTGGGAAGAGCAGAGTGAACTGGACCAGCCAAGCCTCTGTCCCACCAGGTTGCCCACCCTGAGCATCCCCAAATGCCCACGCTAGTGTAGTAGAATCCAGCAGGATCTTCGAAGACAGATTTGCCAACCCATGTCATTAATCCACTTTCAATTCACATTTCTTTGTTCTGGTTTATCAGTCATAACCTTTGCCAGGTTGGTCAAGGATCAACCAGAGCTCAGTAGACCTTGTCAGGGAACAAGAATAAAGGTACTCAAGCAATTGTCCAACTAATCCTTGAAAACACTGGGAAGCTTTCTTTTCCTTTTAGTGGATGATAGACAGTAATCTTAACCTAAGAAAGGATGCTCTAAGAAAGGATGCAGCACTGCAACCTTTTTAGCGGAGCTGATTAAACCCCATCATTTGCTTTTCCTATCACTCCCATTGCTCACTGTCAGGACACCGTCACATCACCCTCATAGCACACAGCTGAGGACATGGCACTCACCTCCACAAACTCATCCCCAAATAGTAATGAGAGTCATTAGATGAAAATGTACCAAAAAGAAGATGAGTTGCTAATAGCCCATGTCGTGTCCCTATTAGCGCTCCAGTTCTCTGTTAGATGTGCCTCTCCTTATTTTGGGTAGAGGGACTTGCATGATAATGACTCTGAAGCTGTAAAATATTAACTCTAATTTTAGAATCATCTGAAAAGAAGGGAAGTCCACTGAAAGCAAATTACTGAGCAATTGTGGCTTCAAAGAGATGAGAAGCATGTTTCTATAATTGTCCAACATTATTTTTAATTTTGATTAAACTCAGAAGTACAAAGCATTAGCAATGACATGTGCAGCAGCCACATCTCCAGAGAATACGAAGGAAATTATCATTTTTTCCTTGCAATATTCCTTTTTTTTTTTAATGTAAAAAGCATTTCTTTTTTTTTCCCAGCAGAATGGGAAAAAACTCTTTTCACACAGTCTGATCTCACAGAAAGTTGCAACGGTTTCAGCCTGTAAAAGCTGGATCAATTCAGACTTGGATTTTAATCTGCACTAAGCTGGAGTTTGCTAGCATGGAGGTTAATCCTACCCCACTCATGAAAAGGACACAAGTTCCACCATCTCTCACTGTTGTGCAAGAAATTTAGACCTCCCCCCAAACCAATGTAAAAATACCAATGCAAAATTACAAATCCATAGTCAGGTTTCAATGTCAGGCAATCCAAGATCACAGAATCATGGAATGGTTTGGATTGGAAGGGACCTTAAAGACCATCTAGTTACAAACCCCCTGCCATGGGCAGGGAAAACTTCCACTAGACAGCAAAAATGCTGATATAAATCACTCTAGAAAGAATGATATAAAATCGTCCTCAGATTTTTAGCAAACCTTCCTTTGCTTTTGTTTCAAAACCACAGTTGGAATTAGCCTCAATTCCTAAAGGATAGGACCTTCCTGCTTCCAACAGACTGCGTGAGGCCAAAATCTAACTTTACTTACATCTGTGCAAAACAATTGGATTACAGAAACTCTCCCAATGATTCATTTAAGTGCAAGTACCTGTAGACATTAGAGAAACAATCGATCTTGACACTTCCCTCTTCACTCACCAAGTTTTCGCAACACAAAGAGCACGCACAGGCCCTTGCGGGACATTTGTGAACTGAGTTGATGATCTCCACAGGGTATAAAAGTATCCCTGGGTGTATCTGGGACTTCTACTCACCTCATTTCTCTCCAAAAGGCTCATAGAGTCAACAAGGATTTTCCCACCGGGCTTTGGATCAGGACCCCAAAGACTGTCAGATCCTAACTCCTGGATACAGCAATTGCTGCAGCTTTTCTCTGTTCAATGTATATGTCTGAAGCCACATAAGATCAGTCTTATCCTTATGTAAGAAACCCTCTCATGAAGGTCACTGACTTACCCTTTTGCCAGATTCTCTATTCCCCAGTATTGCTCCATCTTCTGGTCGCATTTCTTAAACACTTTTTTGCAGTTCTTTTCATCTGACTGGTCCCCACAGTCATCATCCCCATTGCAAAGCAGCCTCCGTGCAACGCATCTCCCTAGGATGCAAGGTGTAAATTGCTCATAAAACAACCTATTATCACACACCCTGACTCAGAGCCTAGAAACAAAACACTCCTGTAATGTATGGTTCAAATCTAGCTGGAAGATCTCTCTTCTCTGTCTGCATGGATCACCAAATTCCAGCTGCTCAGTTTGGCTAAAAACTTTCCTAATCTTATAATTCTTTGTTCAACCTATAAAAAACATCAACATCCTCATTAAAGGTATAAAAAAGATATTTTATTGTTGCTGAAATCTTTTAGTTTTGAGAAAACATGCCAGAGATGGTTCACACCTTGCCTTGCTTCCCCATGATGCTACTGTGTCCCTGACTAATTAGTTGCTAATAAAGATGGAGGGAAATGCCATGAGGACCACGCTCATAACCACTGTGCTCTTGGGCATGTGTCAAGGATGTCCAGTGCATGTTCTCCTGCTGCTGTCAGATCCACTTGTCCTACAGGTTTTACTGACATAACTGGGCTTTAATTTCTTATTTGGAGATTTTAAAGACATGCTTAGACTGAAAGATGTTGGCTAATGGCTCACTCAGAATCACTGATACAAACAACACGAGCATGAATGGACCCAGGTCAACCCCCTGACATCTCTTCGGCCCTACAAACTCTTGTAGAAGCAGAAAGTTCAGTGTAGTTACAGAGAAGCCACCTGAGCACCACCACTTCTCACCCCTTACCTGTAACTGCACACACAAACCCATCACATCTAACTTTATTCCTGCAAGGGTTATTTGTAACACAGTCTTCAGTTTCTTTATCAGTGTAATCACAGGGATCTCCATTGAACTGAGAAGGTTGTTCCAGGCGGGCGAACCTGTACTGTGATGAAATAAAAAATATTGACTCAAAGTGCACATAAATTGGGAATTTTATGCTTCCCCAGTTAAAAAAAACAAACTCTGTGTTGGGAGATCTCATCTTAGAGCACTGCCATGTTAGAAAAAGAAGTGTCAGCAAAGAAGCGCAGTGCTAGTAACGTGCCTCATCTCAAAGGTTTCTGATCTGCCACAGTTTCAATTCTACTAAGGAAGGATTGAGGACTGGAAGGATGAAGGAAAGCTTGCTTTTCTTTGCCTGGTTGTTTAAATGAGGCTGACACAGCAACGCAAGCATTTGCAAGAGGAAGGAAGGATTCAAGTTACATCTCCTCTCTTTCAATTAGCACTGGTAACGACATCCCTTGTTATTTTCTGTCTGTGTATTTACTTGGCCCTCTGTATCATTAGGGATTTTTTTCCGCCCACAACACTGCTGTGAAGCAGTCAATTACTCCGTCCAATATGTTAGCCCTCCTTTTTATCCCAGCTTTTAAGATTAACTCTTTGATATGAAGCTTCACTCTTCCCAACTCCCATCACTGGCTATTTCCGCTTAAGCCTTGGAATGCCTTCTCCAACTTGTTAGCAGAGGTCCTTTTAGCAATGGGGATTTTGCTCTTCACACTACTGGGATCATTACTTTCATTTGATGGGGCTTCTTAGGTAGAAAATACTCACTTCCTTGGCAGCTCCCCTCTGTTTGCTTAACCTCACGGACAAAAAAAAACAAGGTTCTGCCTCAGGCTTTGTGCCTCGACCACAAACACTCACCCTTTTCTTTTGGCAGGGGTCACACTGGCTCCACGAGGACCATGCAGAGAACGCGCAGTCACGGGGCCGCGGCAGGTCGCTCACGGACCGGGCATGTCTGCTGTTGGCCACGCTCTCGGTGCTGCTGAGATTAAAGGACTCCTTTTCACCACTACATTCAACATGAGAGCTTCAGCATGTGAAACCCCCAAGTTGCAAGGACAGAGCAACTTACCCACCCCTGTGCAAAACTGCACACCGAAGAGAACTAACGCTTTGTAGACATCATCAAATCTTCCACGCAACCTCTAGATTCAGTACTTGTTTCATACTGCTATTGATTCTGTATGAAATCCAATCCACTCTTCAATACCCAAGAGTAGACCCACTGCCCTAAGAGTAAATCTGCAGAGCACTCAGGAGGGGTAACTGCAGGACACACGTTTGCCCTAGCATGGAAACTCAACCCATGTCCCACCAACGCAGGGTTTATCTCAAGCTGTGCAAGCCCTGCCAAATAACCTGGCCAAGCGGCCAGCAGTAAAATCTGCACCATCAGTTGCTGCCCTTGTGCCATTGCTCCCTGCTGCTTGCTATATGGGCAGCACTTTGGTACCTCACTGCTGTAGACGACGAACAGCTCCAAGTTCAGACATCTCCGTAAGAAACTCCAGGCCCAATGCTAACGGCTGGTGTGTACTCAGCACTTTTGAAACCCAGGCATAAACACCTCCCTTTGCTGAGCAGTCTTTTTTTTCTCAAGCTGGCCAAACCCGCTAGTTTTAGACTCTATTCTCAGTTCACAATAATCATTAACTCATTAATCCCATTCATCCCAGTAACGAACCTGAATCCCAGCCTCATCTCACCCTCTTACATGACAACTGTCTCCTAGGTTTCCATGATGCCACAGCTAAAATGCTGACTACTCTTTTGGCAGATTCAGTATTTCTGATTAAATCCTTGTCCCAGACAAACGCTTCCTTGTAGCACCTAATCTAAGTGGGAGGCTTTAGTAAAACGTTGACAATTAGTTTCTTTTCATACCTACTTTGACAAGTAAACTACCACAGCAGTGTTCCTAATTCTTCCACCAAGACAAGGAATAGCATCATCTGAAGCTTAAAGTACAATTTAGTGCCCAGCAAGGGGCTCCCATTACTGCATATTAAAAATCAGATAGAATATAGGAATTACAAAAACTCATCAGCTCACTGAGGCATGAAACCAGAGCACAAAGTTCAGAGAACAGTGGAAAAATACAGTTAGATTGGAAGATTGCAGTCAGTGATTGACCACGTTCCTCTAGAAGAGCAAAATGTATTAAGCTAGCAGAGAAAGAAACAATCATCAGCCACATTCCTGCCATTTATGTACTCAAAGGAAACAAACCCCTGTCTCTCCAGCACACTGTTGGGCAGATAGCACAGGAAGAGGTTGCATGTTGCAAGCAGAATTCCACATTACAACAGTTTGTTGTCTTGGGTTCATCAAATAGGATTACTTTTCTAAAGCCAGACACATTGCACTACATTAAGTTCAAAACTAACATCTTTTGCTGTTCATTAGAAATACAGAAATCACTCACGATGGCAATTACGTGCCATATAGCATGAAAGCAGAGTCTGTACTGATTTTCACTCTATATCATATAACCTCACAGACATGGCTTCAGGAACATTCACTTACCTAAAGCAATGAACAGTTAGGATGCAGAGCATGGTGTAAAGCAGCAACAGTTTGATAGGGTAGGGAGCAAACATGGTGCGTGCTGTGCTCATCACTCCAAGGTACCATCGGCAATTCAGAACCACCACTGCCCCTGTTCCGTCTGCCAGGGGGTGCTTTGAAAATGGTTCAAGTAGAAAAAGATTGATCACCAGGTTGTTTCTCCACACTGTAAACAGCAGATGATCCACCACCTGGCAGGTTCACAAGGTAGATGTTGCAATTGTTGGTGCACAGCTTTTTGCAGGCAAGTGGGAAGGAAGCAAAGATCTGCCTAGAAGCAATTCACGCTTTCATTTGGAATGATCCTTGCAAGGGATGGGGAAGAATGAATATTTCAACAAATGAAACATACTCGAGTCTTGGCAAGAGGGAAGTGATAAGTAAACTAAAGGCTTTCTAGGAATGGAGTGCAAAATCATTTATTTCTGCTTCTCATGTCTGTCTTCAAGAGGAAGCAGCCATTCTCATGGCTCAGGGAAAGCCTTCATCCCTGAATGCCCTTTGCCATCCCTCACAGGGGCTTGGGCTGTAGCTGCAGGGGAAGACAAGAGCCCCGGCACTGGCTGGGCCTTTCCACAGGGTTTCTCTGATCCATGCACCCAAATCTTGAGCTCTTGGAAGCAAGCCCCGTCAGCGTGTCAAATTAAATGTCTTTGTGTTTTCTAGCTACTGTGTTCTCTTAAATGGTCCTAACGGGGGCAGAGAACTTACCAAGAGCTGATTCCCATCAGTTCAGTTGGGCTTTCAAAGGAAGCTCGGGATCTTCAAAGCCTTGCAGAGTTTTTCTTCAGTTGCCTGTTGTGGCAGCCTTCACATCCCACCTCTTCTCACTTCAGGTACAGCTGCTTTACTCCTGAGACACAACAGTCTTTCCCTCCATTTTCCTAATCAGTCTTAACCTACAATAAGCACCTTAGGGGGATCTAAGTTCTCGGAATCTGTGCTTCCCTGAACAAAATGATGAATATAATTGCATTTTCCTACCCTTCCTGTGCTGGACAAGCAGAAGTTCTTTGCAGAGACATAGCCTCAACTCTGTGTGTGCAACTATAGCTTTTGGCAGCACAGTCTCTCACCCTGGAATAAGGTTTTGAGGGCTTTGATGATACAAAGAATAAATACATTTTAATTTGCTCATGATGGGAATGATGGATGCTATATATAAAATTAATCATATTCACTAATACAAAACAAACGTGACAAGCACAGCATTACTTGGCCAAGTACTACACCTCTTAATGTGCCACAGTTACCTTACAAATGACATTATTCTGACTGTGGAGCCATGTCTCTGCAAAATAAGCAACTGACTGCTGCATCTTTCCAGTTTGGCAGCTTGGTGATAACAATTTAACACAGAGAAGCACGTTAACTGAATCCTTGGAGGAATCTGCTCCCAATAAAAAGATTGTGTTTCAGGCAGCTAGTTTTTTAACTCAAAGTTACTGAACACACAGCCAGTGATTAACTGCCCTCTAGACATGGAGGACAAACTGTTAGGAAAGATGGCTTAGGCTGTGCGAAGCTTTTTGTTTGCCTTTTTTGCCTTATTTTTTGTTTCAAATGACTTTGCCCCAGAGTGAACCCAAGATGCGGTTATGTGGTACAGCTTGCTCAACCTTTGACACAATTGATTTCGCTGTTAATCATTTGTCTATGACCAAAAAAGAAAAACCACTTACAGAAAAAACCTCTTCATACACGGGAACTTGCTGGCTGGGAAACGCAGTACATGTCCAATATTTCAACAGCAGCAAAAGAGAAGCCAAGATCATAAGCACAGAGTACCCTCTAGATTTAACTGCAAACCGTGACAGTGATCCCAGTGCATGAACATCTCAAGGCAACCTGCTCCTGTTTCCTGCTTGTCTCTGTTTTGCTGCCTCTCGCCACGCACATCTTAGTGGGGAACATGCCTGGTTCTGAATTAGCAGAAAGAATTCAGGTTAAAACAGGAGCAGGGATTTAAAAGACAGAATTTCCTACAGGTTAGCATAATTTTGAGAGAATTGAAAAGCAAAATCAGATTTACACCATAATTTATAATCTGGTTTAATTAGAGGTAGGTCTAACACATAAAATTGATGGCAACAGCCACAGCTCATTTTCTGCTTCCTTGTAGTTTGGGGCAGAGTGGGTCCATGGATCACTGGGAATGTTGCCTTGTAACACTGCCTGTGTCCTCTTGCCCCGGTCCTGTTCTGTCTCTGTTGCTGACAGTAATAGTTGTGGCTGTCTGCTGAGCTGTTTTTAAGTCCCAAAGCACTTAGTGCTAACAACGCTGTAAGTCACTGGACATGGATTTCATCACAGTTGAAAATGAAGCCTCAGTCATGTCCACCACGAACACCGAGCTTTCAAGTGCAACGCATCCTTTGCAGAGTTCGTAACACCGATGCGAGTTTGTGACCCCTTGCTCCCCGTAAATAAAACCTATACAGTTTCATCAAACATGACTTTTGTTTTAAATGGTAGTTTCCTGTCCAAAGACAAACTGTGAAACACATCAGAGATGAAAGACCCTCCCTGGGAAAGGTTAGATTGGAGCCAGCAAGCAGCTATTCATGGTCTTGTTACAGCATGTATCAAAACCAGTTGCTTTTTCTTCATCTTTTCATTCCCTGCTTTATAACTCATAATGCATTTCCTTCTGCAGAAGAACACAGCTGGCTCATTCATAGGTAAGAGGAGGCTTGCCCATTGATTTTAATGGTGAAAAATGAAGTGACAAACATATGGGAAAATTTACAAGTAGAAAACCCTAAGGAATGTTTTCAGATGTTTATTACAACTGACTGTGTTGCATCACCACTTTTGTTATCAATACAGTTATATTCTGGTGGTGAGGCTGGCCTCTGAAAGGCTCTGGACATAAAAAACTCACCTTCTTGAGCTTAAGTCTCCTTTCCTGGCCCTTGATTCACTCAGTTCAAATTGGACACAGGTTCACCTACTCTGAAAGCTCTGGCTCTAAGGTCCTGTGAAGATGGCAAGACAGAGGCTGCAGTAATAAGCAGACAAAGAAAGAAAAACCTACCATGCCCCATCCCTTTTCTCCATTAACCTCAAGATATCACAGACACACATTATTTTAAACTAGAAATAGAATTTTTCAAAGAAAAAACAAGACACTTATAATCTGAATGTGCAACTAGTACAAAATCTAGAATGCAACATCTTACAGCACTGTAACTTCTGCTTATTTTTAATACAACTGGCTCCTGACACCAAGAGCTTTTCTTAGACCTCTAATAACTATCTGTTAAAGAAGACAAAGATGCCACAAAAGGTCTTCATGCAGCCAGCACCTGGCAATAATTCTTCATAATCCTTTATTTTCACAAACGTCTGAGGCTGAATGGACATCGATTTGCTGCCCATTAACCTGGTTTCCTTTTAATCTATTGTGATTTCCTTTCTTTGCTGGTGAACAGTATTTATAGAAGTGGTGCTGTGGGAGCTATGAAATGGGGTTGAAAAGCCAGCAAATAATATCAGATCTTAAAAGACCTCTTCTAAAAAAATACATTCTATATCTTAAAGCCCCTTGAATGGGAAACATCTGAGGCTATTCTTCTCATTGAGATTTTTCAGGTGCAGATAAAACATTTTAGGGGTGATAGATGAGCCACAGGGGCAAACACGTCCATTGAGATAAGCCTATTTAAAGCTCTAAAAACTAATAGCTGCAGAGTCGTTTCACTAATAGACCTGATATTTCCTGCCTCCAGTAGGATAATTCTAGAAAGAGACAGGCAATGTTAGAGGTCCTCAGGAAATCATATCAGGATATCTCCCCATATTAATCACTGTCATGGTCAAATATATAAATCAGTTTCCCCACACTTTCAGACAGTGAGTGAGGCCACAAAAGTGGTTTGATAGACAAATCTTCTACATACACCTTTTCCTTCCCCGTGACAAGTCTCTGCTTTACCATAGGAATTAAAGTGAAATGAGACAAACAAATGAAGGCTTTTAATGGGGTTGATTCTGAAAAGCAAATCAGTATGAGAAGGCCAACTTGTGGAAGACCTCATCACAAGATACCTGACAGAAGTACTCTTACAATTCATGACTTCTGCACTGCTAACATCAGACAACAACCAGGCACAGGGGGTTAGTCCCACTGATTTCACATGTAGGAGCAGAACCTATAGCGCATGCAGGAATAGTGCATGCAGCAGTAAGGACACTGATAGTAGTAGTATTAGTACAGATACTTCTTCAGATGATCCAGTCTCACACATTCACCCAAACCCTCTGTTTTCCAGTTGCCATATGGACTTCCACTTGGTTCCTCCACCACTTGCCACGTTGGCTCAGAAAGACAGCTGTAGACTATGGATTCAAACCTCTGTGGAAAACTGCCAACAGATACCCGCATTCATTTCTTTGAAATGATATTCTTCTGATTGAGAACAGTATTTGCCAGAAAACTAGTAAATGTGAACCTGACAGGACCAGAGTCTTTTAGAAAGCAAGGGAAGAAAAAAAGGACACGTGCATAGACATGTATCTCACGACCTAGAAAAAGAAAGAGGTTAGTTTATCTGTCACAGCAACTGTCACTGTGTAGTGATTAAAGCACATAAAACGTTGCCTTTAATCCTACATAAGCCAGCTAAAATTGCGTGTTCCCAGTCTATGCAACCAATTGCCTTCCCAGAAGTCACTGACTTGGAAAAGAGAGATCGTCTGAGTCCTCACTTCTGTAAAACCTCATGTTGATTCTGCAAACTGTTTGCTAAATAAATTCTCATTACTGCAGGAGATCATGGCTTTAATTAGCATTAGTTAAATCAGGACCATTTTTTGAACTAGTCATGTTTGAACTGGATGCTCTCATATGCAATCTGGAAACTCCTAGTGCAGTTAAATCACGGTAATGTTAATGTAATAGAGTACATTGACACAGCACAGTAAGAATCAGATCTTTTTTCCCCTTTCTTAACAATGCCAACATGCAGCCAAGGTCCCTCCTACTTTGATGTTCCTCATCACCACCAGACCAGATCTCGAGCCTGTTCAT